TCGCGACACGCGTTCGCACGATCCTCTAGAATTACAGTTAACGCCAATTCTATGTCGACTATTTTGAATAGATTCAACATTGGGTCTGCTCTTACATCATCATACGGTTCACTTGAGTGCGCCGTTTTAGTGAAAGTGCAGGAGTTTGGGAAGGCACGTCACCGAAAGTATACAGTTAGTGATGATGAGCTCAAATTATGGTGTTTGTGAGATCATGCAGTTGTGATCTTTTGAACACTAAAAATTTATTTCGTCAATTAATGTGTGTGAAAACAAACATTGTGACATTGCCCATATGGCCTCTTGTCAGTACGATTTTGAGTTCGTTCTCTTTTGAACGTTTCCCCTTCATTCCTTAACAATGCTTATTTTGCATGGGATGCTGAGCTTATTTCTCCCAGCCTTCGTGTTTCTCTCAACATTTGAACTTAACTTCTGTCGGTCAGTGGCGAAGGCGCTCAGTGGTCAGTGGTGATGCTATGATTCATCCGTTTTGAATCTAATAATGTGTGTGTGATGCGCCTGGCTTAATACTTTGTTTCAGACAATATGCAAGGATTGGAATCGCAAAAGCGACTGTCCAAGGATTCATTCCAGTGAGATCGAGTGCCAAAGAAGAAGACATCAGCGTGAGTATTTGCGGTAAAGAGATGCACACTTGCAGACAGATACTCCCACCGCCGGCGAAGGCGCTGCAGAGCCATTATTCAAGAACGGACAGAACGATTATGGCAATTATCACTAAGCCAACGGCTGAGGCTAGAACGAGAGGGCAGAGAAGAACGAGCTGAACGACGCAGGGATGATGCCGAACGACATCAGCGAAGGCGAGCACGAGAAAGCAGTGAAGAGAGGCGTGTTCGCCTTGCAGGCGATGCTGCGCGTCACGGAATATTACACACTCCCTCTTCTAGAGTGATTGGAGTATCTACAAGAATCGCCTTGGATACTCATGATCACCATCAGTCATGCCAGCTTTGATTTGCGCGAGTGAGATTAGGGCGCTGATTCATTACGTACCATTACGAACTAACCATAGACCCTAGCTGCGACCGCTTCCCACCACATTGCTATCGATATAGAGATCAGCGTGCTCTCTGAACAGCGTGCTCTCTCGCGTGTTTTGTCTTCTTTGATCGCCCTGTCTCGCCATCGTACCACATCCGACGTTATAGTAGGTTGAGGCCTTAATTTTGGCGTTTCCGATGATTTCTCTTGTTCTCCTGTCCACTTTCTGCTCACTCGAAGCGCCCACATTCACCAGTTTTATTCCGGGGAATGCCTTTCAGTGAAAGCATCCAGATCTGCGACTTATGCCGTTTTATTTAGAATTTTTTTCAAAGAGTTTCCTAATAGACTACGTAGGTTGTACGCTATAGCGAATCCAGAAGAATTTTTTGGAAAATAGCAGAAGCTTCGATTCTGCTTTGGCAATGGCGCCAATAAGAGGTCAAATAGATGCGATAAGAGGACGTGGCCCATACTGTTACGAAATACATGTAGTTTCATTACTGGATAGGCGTTCTTAATCCAAGATAAGAAGAGCTATGTTACCATAGACAGATCTATATTTTGGATGCGGAAATGGCTGCTGACCGACGTCTCGGAGACTCAAGGAGTGTTGATTGTGATCCAAAACTGATGCGTTCTCTCAGTGAGTTGTTGTTAAAAGCTAATGTTTATGCTCAGTCCTTCAAGATGATGAGCGAAGTCGAACAAGCGGAAATTGTGGCTGCAACATCTAAAACCGTACTTCTTTAAATATTCAGATGCGGTTGAGAGGAGATGAGAAAGTATTAGGCGTAGTCAATACGGCCGACGGGGCCGGCTCAACGAAGTGGCAGTTGTGTACGTAGAGAAGGACAACGACGTGCCACCAACGGGAGCTTAGCCGTCCACCTATGAAACGCTTCAGGAGAACAACTTCAAAATATAGACGATGTTGACAACATATGCGACAATCTCACGCATTGCAACCCTCCTTCCTACTGGAGATGTCTGATGGGAGCCAACCATGACTGACGACGACGGGTTTTCGGATTTGTCAAGAGAGAGTATGTATTTATCCTATCCTATTCGGTGAAATGACTGAACATCCGATCTTTGTACACTGAGATAACTCTTCACGAGTTTTGCCGTTGATAACAGTCAAACAAGAGCGGAATCGGGCTTCCTTGTTCACGTCGAAGGAATCAACTAAGATTGCGCTCCGACTCTTAGAGGACTACAGGGCTGACTCGCCAATGGGGATATCACCAGTCCACCGGGCTTTTTCAAGTTGGTTTACCGTCGTCCTATTCAATGGGCCGTGCTTCGTGCACAGCAGTCATCAGGACGCAACTGGCTAGTAGTTGCACGTTATTAAAAAGCGATAAGATGCGGTGTTTTCCGACAGTGGCGTGCAATCCACAATGGAATTAGATCCAAGAAAGCATCTTCAGTAGTCGAACAGCATCGGACCTTCCTGCCATAGTAGCGCAGGTTTTCAACCGAGGGTACACCCGGAGTTCTGCCGCATCGTTTTCAAAAGAACATGCTCTTGTAGAAGTATCAGCCTATGTGTCTGTGATCGAACTTCATAAGTAGGTCTCCCACATTGTCACAGGCTTCTGATAACGAAAGAATAATGGACAGTGTGAACGAGCGGACGATGTGGACAGATCAGTTCGTGCAGAAATCACAAATGCTACAGAAGTACTCGTATCCCATGCTGCTGTAACGTCTTACATGATCCCCGGCGACGCGCACAGACAGACTCTCCCGATACGCTTCCCAATGGATCCTGTGCAAAACGCTACCGAAGCACAAGAAAGACCCTCAGTGGACGAGGATGGCTCCCAAGATCATTTCAGAATCAACGGTGTTCTGTAGGGCGTGCAGTCGGCATAATATCGGCGTGTTCAAGTATCTCTACAATGTGTGTACAAGGGCCCGAATCGTGCTCGGATCAACATCGAAGGAAACCAATGGTAACAAATAACGAATATCGACGAAATCAAGCAGCACTTAAATACTCGCAATGTGTGTGCCCCTGCATGTATGTAATACAAGATCTTCAGTTTTGAGAGAAGTCACACGCTATAGTCAGGCTTTGCTGTGCACCTAGGCACTTCCAAATGGTTTCATTTGCGCAAAGACGGGAGCGACAATACATTGATCATGCACGCCAGTCATTTCCAACTCTTACGGCATACTTCGAGCTTAACAGGCCTATACCCGTATTGGTGGCAACGTACGCCACAACAGTGCGACGATCCACAGGGAGCTTTACCAGTACCAATTGCCTGAGCATTTCACTTTCAAAAAACGTGGATGGAAAGCGAGGATACGATTAGGAAAGTATGTGAGTAGGATGTACACTATTTCGCCTCCGAGACCAAGCTATTGCCTCCGGAATTTCACTATTGAACACGAAAGGAAGAAGTGCCTTTTAAGACAAACGAACTGTGAGCGGCGTTACATATGACACGTTTGCAGAGGCAGCCAGACGTGCAGGAATTCCTTGATCACTCAGATACTTCTGGCAAAATATGCAGGAAGCAGCGCTGTACAAGTCAGCAACACGCCTTCGAGGTTTTTTGCCTGCTTACTCTCCTTTTCAGGAGTATTTCACGCACATGTGGAACGAATTTACCCAACCAAGGCAGATCATTATCAACCAAGGAACCGAATGTGAGTTTGCTGTGGCACATGTGTACTTTGACGTGCTGGATCGAATGGCAGTTCTGGACAGAGATTTACAAGAGACTATTACACCTCCCCTAGCTGAAGGTCCTGTGGCACCTCCTGTGACAGTGAATTATGAAGAGCACGAAACAAACGGTATGCTATAATGCTACTATCAATGCCGGATAAAAGGCTGCCGCAGACGCCATTATTGATGCACTATCGTAAGCAGACCTCGAAATCGGCGAACTTTTCATAGACGGACATGGAGGAAGTGGGAAAACGTACTTATACATGCTGTATATAACACTGCTGTTGGACGAACACGTCACGTTGTTTGCGTTGCTTGGACGGGATAGCTGCTAATCTCCTGCAAGAAGGATGAACAGTTATTTCCGTTTTCAAGCTCAGCATTGCTGATTATGCAGAAAGGCTTCCGCACCAATGATGCGCGGGAGTCCGCTAAATGCTTATAAGGCCGATTTCATGTAAAGTATTGTATATAAATTGTACTTACTCGAAAAAATGCCATAAGGCCATGTAATCCTGTGCCTTGTTTCTGTGCCTTTGATCCTCACTCATTGCGAAATTCTCACCATGTTCACTAGAACTGTATCTCGTCTAGATCTCTGGAACTCGGGATTTCTAAAATCTTCTCATGGATATCCTACGTCACACCATATATATGGCCAGTCATTTTTGGTTCAGTTATAATCGCAATAAACGATTCAATTACCAAGGTCTTAAGGTGTTTACTATTTGGACGGTCTAGCCCTCTATTACCTGTCATCCATCTATTTACATATTACAATGTTATACATTGTTACTGCTATTTTGACTATTTAGCTCGGACCCCAACATCAACAGTTCCGAAGAAGCTCAGGGAGATCCGACCGCAGTGGTTCAAGACAAGCCGCTGCCAATCTTGACTGTATTCGAGTGGCCTGTTGCCAGAAAGAAGCCGTCGGCTGGTAACTGAGAAGAGGGTAATCAACTGGAGGAAAACGTCACTGGACCACCATACCGCCACACATACTTTCCATGACACCAAAAGTCGCATTGAAAACTGTTGAAGCCCTTCTTTAGGATATCATGCAAAAGGCGTTAGGTGGTAAGGTAGCGACTATTGGTGGAGATTTCCGCCAAATCCTGCCAGTAGTCGATCATGGTGGAAGGCCAAGACTCCGTTGAAGCTTGCGTTCACAAGTCCTTTGATCGAGATGATGTGCCTTTCACATAGTTACAGAGATGTTCATAGCTACCTTCGGCCTGGAAATAACATCTGAATTACGTGAGCGTGCCATACTTGCACCGAAGAATGTCCACGTACAGCGCTCAAACAACATAGCCCTTGATCGTCTGCGTGTGGAAAGGTCCGAATACGAAAAGGACGTGCAGAGTGTCGGTGAAGCTTACTTGGAAGGACAGTATAAGCAACTTTTGCAGCAGGGTTATATAAATTCCCTGACACCCACGGCCATGCCGCGCCAAGATACTGACAATTGTTATGCTACTAAGAAACCACGATATAAAAAAGGACTCTGTAAATACTCGGACGTTTCACACTTGGTTGCACGTTGATCTGCGGAGGTAGAACAGGCTGGCTCGCCATATTTCCGAGATTCAATCGAATCCCTTTTCGACTTCCCAGACAACAATTCCCTAGTAGCTTTTCCAATGACAATTGATAAAGCACCAGGGCAGCCTTTTCAAAGTGGGCATACATCTCCCACTGTTTTTTTTTCTCATGGACAATTATACGTTGCTCTTTCATGTGCGAGTCTCCCAGTGGAACGAGGATCAACTCATACAGAAATGGAAATATCGTATTTCCCGAAGCTCTACTATGAGGATTGTTTGAGACGAGGAAATGCATCATGCAAAGTCAGGCAAGCTCAGATTAGACTTTCTGCATCAATCTGACGAAAACATTATTACTATTGCAGGACCGAGTTCTCATCCGTAAGCACATTTATGTTCGTCGAAATCCACGAAGCTATCTTCTTCTCTTTGAAGTGAGCAATTTAATTAGATTCAGCATTTTTCTTTTCTCCATTTTGCACTCGTCACAAAGTCAGTTCAGCTATCATTATTTCACAGGTGATGCAAAAATTCACGATTTCTCAAAATCTGAATTGTATTATAGCATCAACATCTCTGTCCACATTGTCGTCGTTTTCGCATGCATACAAGTGACTTCCCACCGTCCTCTTTAAAGGGAGTTTCCAAAACGTCACTATCTGGATTGAATATAGCGAATTACAGCTTCACGATCTCTGTCGACGGTATCGTCGCTTTTGCCTATACAAGAGACTTCACACTGTTTTTTCTAAAGTGAGTGTTCACTTGATATGAATTTTGTTCTGCATTTGGTAGCTTTCTTAGAGTATGTGCAAGC